CTGCGAGATGGGCTGCGCCCTCGGGTCGGCAATCAGATGGCGCGCCTCGTGCGTCGCGGGCGATGCCGGCTGCGGCAGCCAGGGCGGGACGATGGGGCCCTCTCGCATCCTGGCCATGAGCTTGGCCGGCACGGGCTTGAGCGCCATGGCAAAGTAGAGGCCGTTGAAGGCCAGTGCCGGCGGCGACGGCCGGAAGAGGTCCGAGAGCGAGTCGGCGGTGCTGCGCGGCAGGGGCTTGACCTGTGCGGAGGCACGTCGATACAGCGCAGGCAGGCAAACGCTGTGGGTCAGCTCGACTGCTCCCAACAACGACAGTCGTGGCGAGGAGCAGCGAAGAGAGCGACGAGGGAATGTAGCGGACCCTAGGTTGTTGCCAGCAAGAGCAAGGTCGCATAGCGACTTCTCCCGAGACCATGAAATTAGGGTGCCAGCCGCCGCACATTCACCTCGAGCAGAGACGCCGGGCCATCGGGAACCGGCGGACCGGTCCCGAGGCCGACAGCCGCCGCTCAGAGGGAAGCGGTAACGGGGCACATTGTTCTGGGCAGCCGCCGCCAGGGTTGATAGCGTACACCTCCACTCGCCCGCCCGTGAAGGCAGGCTCATGGACTCCCGCATGTGGGGATGACGCTCCCGATCAGACGATGATGTGCTTGGCGTCAAGGGCGAACCCTCAACGCCTGCCAGCACCGGCGCCGTCTCGCACCCAGCCGGAGCGGGCGCGAGAGCAAGGGAGAGAGAGGAGGGTGGAAGGGACTGGTGGAGGAGGGGGCCAAGCAGGAACGGAGAAAGACATCGCAGCGAGGCTCACCTTGACCGACCGAGAGGCTCGCTGCTCGGGTGACGTTGACGAGGGCGATAGCGATGGCGACGGCGAGGTTGAAGGCGCGTCTTTGGAGGTCGGCAGTCGCAGCAGCGTTGAGCCGTGGAACCGTCGCGCGACTGTTGAAGGAGCGGCAACCAAGCGCGGCGCTGGGCCAAGGACGCTCGGCCTCACGGCACGAATGAGCGCACGCGCGAGCATCATGGGGCGATGTATGCTCTCAGGGGCTGGCCTGGTGATGAGCGACGGAAGGAGGGCAGGACGAGGGCGACGGGTCAGCGTCTGCCAGCTTCCTTCCTGGTATATGCTCGCGCGTCGACGACAAGTGACCAGGGAATCCCCACGATCGCGCTGCTCTGGGATCAGCAAGCGGATGATTTAACGCGAACCAGGTACGCGAGACTCTAGTTTTATGCTTGTCTCCACTGAGGGAGCAGCATCCTTTCCGAGAGGTGGCCGCGAGGGGAGGGTTCGAAAGGCAGGGGTGGGCGGCACGTGGAGGGCATCCGAGCGGGGAGAGAATAGACACTTACGTAGGTCGCTCTGCTCTCAGGATGCGTGCGTCAACGGCTGGGCCGCAGCGTTGGGCATGGCCAGCGCGCCGAGTGCGTGTCAGGCAAGGGTAATTGGATCGAGACCGAAGGCCTAGCGGAGCATACAGGGCAGAGCAGGGCAGCGGATGGTCAGCAGATGATCGCCAAGAGAGACCGAGACGCCACATCACCGCGCGTGCCGCTGTAGATGCCGTAGACCGACCGACGAAGCCCGTTCGCCGCGCAGGCTCTCTCATGTGATTCAGATATTAATGATGTGTTACGCTTTCAGATTTGTTGTCAAGCGTGGAACCTTTTTTAATCAATGAGAGCCGGCGGCGGCGGCGGCGGCGGCGGAGGCAGCGGTGTCGAAGGCGATGGCGGCGCGGAGATGGTCTCAAAGAGGGACGGCGAGAGGGCTCCGACTCGAGAACACTCACCTGATGATCAAGGATGTGAGAGTTCAAAAGGATATGCGCTCGCGGTGGGGAAGCACACGAGACGAGCGGCGAGGCTACGTGATGCTGTCCATGATTGGCGGTCTCGAGACGAGAACGAGCGAGAGGCAAAGGGCGCAGGGGGTGGTGTTGATGGTGGTGGTGGTGGTGGGGAGGCGGAAGGCGGCCGGGGTGGGTCGGGTTGGGTTGGGGGGCGAAAGGGGATAGCGGTGCGGAGCGAGCCGCGCCCGCCCCTTCTTATTGAGGGCCGCCTGGCTGCCCTTGCTGGCTGGCTGGCTGGCTGGCTGGCCTGGCTCGGTGGGGCCGGCCTAGCCTGGCCAAGAAAAGGGGGCTCGCCCGCACGGCTGGCTGGGCCACGGCTCGATTTTTTTTTTCTTCTTCGTCGTGGCCGCGCTCGACGGTTGGTCGAGACTGCGGCGGGCGGCGGGGGCAACCCACCTCAGCCTGGCCGAGCCCAGGCTGGCTGGCCTGGCCTGGCTTGGCGTCGCCCGGCTAGGAATTTCCACGGAAATCTCCGGCTGACCCGCGCGAGAAAGGCTCCAGTCAGGTTGGGCGATCGGGTGACCCGCTTTTTCGGAAGCGAGGTTCCAACGAGCCCCCGGCCTCGAAATTTGAGCCCGAGGCCGGAAGTGGGCGAGCGAGAAGAAGAAAAAAAAAGTTTTGGCCGGCCGCACCCTGCCAGCCCCGCCGCCCGCCGCCTGGGACTCGGGTTGGGCCGAGCTGGCTGCTGTGCTGGGCTTGGCTGGACCGGGGCTGGGCTTGACTGGACTGGCCTGGCCTGGCCTGGCTTGGTGAGGCTCGCACGACGCTGCAGGCTGCAGGTGGCAGGCGATCCTCTGACCGCACCTTGATCCCAGCACCATCACGCTCGCCACCCGCACCCGCACGCCGCACCCGCACGCCGCAGTCTCGATCGACCGCCCGACCAGACCGACCTACGCCACTGCGCTCCACTGTCCAGCTCCTCACCGCCCTCCCGCCGCACGCCCGATCGACGCAGCATAGCCATGTCCAAGGACGAGGTCAAGAAGGATAAGAAGTCCAAGAGGAAGTCCGAGGTGGTCGCCATGGACGTCGACGGCGACGTCTCGGTCGCCACGGCCGTCGTCGCCGCGTCGCCCGAGAAGAAGGACAAGAAGGAAAAGAAGGACAAGAAGGACAAGAAAAAGGACGAGGCGGCCAAGGACGACGAGGGCGGCGACGCCAAGAAGGAAAAGAAGGAAAAGAAGGAGAGGGAGGTCGACGAGGTGCCCGCAGAGGCCATCAGCGCGATTGCGAGTGAGTAGCGGGCGACGTCGTTGCGGTCGTCCGATGGGACGAGCGACTGGGTGCGACCGGGCTGGGCAGGGCAGGGCAGGAAGGAGAACATGCCTCCCCGTCACCGCCGCCACGCTCCCTTTGCTGACCGTCTTCTTCTCCTCCCCGCCCTCGCCGCCGCAGGACCGCTGGCGACCAAGGACCTGTCGAAGCAGGTGTACAAGACGATCAAGAAGGCGACCAAGTCGCGCGGCCACGTCAAGCGCGGCGTCAAGGAGGTGGTCAAGGCGCTGCGCAAAAACGAAAAGGGCCTCGTCGTCCTCGCCGGCGACATTTCGCCCATCGACGTCCTGTCGCACATCCCCGTGCTGTGCGAGGACACGTCGAACCCGTACATTTTTGTCACGTCCAAGGACGCCCTCGGCGCCGCCGGCGCCACCAAGCGGCCCACGTCGTGCGTCATGATTGTCCCCGGCGGCGGCAAAAAGGCCGCCGCAAAGGGCAAGGAGGCCACCAAGCAGAAGGAGGAGTACCAGCCCGAGTACGAGAAGCTGCACAAGGAGATCCAGGCGCTCGTGAGTTCGCGCGCTGCCACACCCCTCTTCGCCCGTCGTGTCGCCACGAGGTGATCGCACAGCACTGACGCCCGCCTCGCCCTGCTCTGCCGCCCCTGCCTTTGGCCTCCCTCTCGCCCCTCTACGCAGAGCGATAGCGTGGCAATGGCCTAGACGCCGCCCGCACTCGTCCGTCCCGCTCGCACCCTGTCCCGTGGCCCTCTCTCTTCCTTGCCCTGTCCGTGTCGTCCGCGCCACCTGTACTATAGCTTCCCAGCTCTGCTCTCGCATCCAGCAACGTCAGAGTTCCTCTTTACCCCTTAAGCAGGCCCTCGCTTTTGACTCACCTTTCGTCCCGATCCATCGAGGCGAGACCGCGATCTCGCGGCTGCAGCACGGATCCGGAAACAGGGTACGCTCCGGAAGCGAGGCGGTGGCGTCCGTGGAGCAGTCTCGATTGGCGCCCTAGGACTGGAGCGGAGAGAGAGCGAGGGAGGCCGGGTATGGTATAAGGTGACAAAGGGGCAAAAGGAGAAGCAGCAGAGATCAAAGCAAGCAGGGACGCCAACCGCCCGCGGAACCCGCCGAGCCGACGACGACCGGGCTCGGCCCTAACAGATGACACACTTGTCCGACTCGCGCAGGCCCATCTCCTCCATCTCCTCGCGGTGGCGCTCCGACTCGTTTTCCGAGTTCTTCTCCTCGACCTCCTTTGGGAACCAGGTGCGGAGGAAGTTGACGGCGGCCTCGTCCATGTTGCGGCCGTCGGCGTTGGCCACGGCGCCCGGGCAGCGGCAGAGCGGGCAGTCGGACTTGCCCTGCTTCTGCAGCTTGACGAGGCAGCGGATGCAGAAGAGGTGGCTGCAGTCGAGCCGGACGGGCCGCCAGGCCACCGAGGTGCAGATGGCGCAGCTGTAGTCGTCGACCGACGGCAGGATCGGCAGCAGCGTCGTCGAGAGCAGCGAGAGGAGGATGTGCGGCAGCGACTCGGACAGCAGGCCCGTCGTGCTCGACGGCAGCAGCGCCGCCAGCGAAGGGTGCGCCGCCGTCGAGGTGAGCGCGCCCATCGACGACGCCGCGTCGGTCATTGTCGGCAGCAGCGCCGACGCCGGCAGCTCGACGATGCCCATCCCGCTGCCACCGCCACCCGCAGCGCCGCCGAGCCGGCGCTGCATCGCCTCGCGCTGCGCCATAAACGTCCGCAGGTCGTTGCTCGCCGTCAGCGCGGTGCGCTTGTCGTGCTTCTTGAGGATCTTGCGCGCCGCCTCGACATTGACGCGCTGGAACTTTTTCACGTCGAGCAGGGCAAAGTTGAGCTTGAGAAAGTCCTCGATCGCCTGGGCGCTGGCGGCGCTGCTGAGGCCCTGGCTGCTCGGCCCGCTGCCCAGCTTGCGCTTGATCAGCCGGCCCTTGACCTTGCCCGCACCGCCGGCGGCGTTGGCCACCGACTCGCCGGGGGTGGCCATCCACCCGCGCTTGGCCAGCTCCCCGGTGAAGCGCTTGAGGCGCGCCTCGCTCTCGTCGACGCTCAGCTCGCCGCGGTCCTTTTCGCGCTGGCTCTCAAAGATCTGGAAGTCGACCCAGAGGCTGAAGATCTCGCGCCACACGTAGAGGTCGTTCTTGGTGGCGTACGGGCTCGAGGCGCGCGCGACGGCGGTGCAGAGCGACTCGGTCTCGGCGACAAACGTCTCGTGCTGCGCCCCCTGGATGTTGCTCAGGTTCTGCAGGGCGCCCGTCAGCGTGTCGAGGAACTCGGTGTCGGCCGTGAGCGGAATGACAATCTCGCGCGACCGCACGCCACGCCGCTTGCGGATCGCAGACTGCCGCACCTGCTTCTCCTCGGCGCTCTCGCCCTCTGGCCCGTTTTCGGGGATCGATGACGAGCGCAGCCGCGGCGACGGTGGCAGCTCGACGATGCGCGACCCCAGATCGCCCTCGGCGCTCTCGTCCTCGTCCTCGGCCTCGGCCTCGGCCCGAGCCTCGGCTTCCGGCAGCTCCTCGACGTCGGACGACAGTGGCGACTCGATAAACAGCCGGATCCGCGGCACCGGGTGCTCTGGCGTGCCGCCGAGCTCGTACTCTGCCCGCGCTCGCCGACCGGCCTTGCCCTCGACCCAGCGCAGCTGGCCGGGTCCAGTGGGCGCGGCGGGTGCGGACGGGGCCGCTGTGCCGCCGCCTTCCGCTCGGCATCCGAGTCCCACGTCGG